CAAATCTTCTCAAGGGTGACCTGATCGAATCCCAAATGTCATGGGCGCGACTGTCGCAAAATACGAGGACGTGAAAATTCTCCATGGGCATGGGGTAGCCATTGCCGGTCCAAATCGCTAATGTCGAGGATGCGGACAGGGTAGCAGGCGTGGTTGTTGAAGAATGTTGTTCCAGAGTGGGAAGGCCGCATTTTCAGATCCAACCAGAGATGTCATTGTAGAAGTCGTTACCTCGATAACATGATAGCTCCAAGTGTCTCGATACGCAGCGCTTTATCATGAAGCGGGGACGCGAAGCTTACCCAGGGTCATGAGGTGGTCGCTGGAGGAACCGAGCTTCCTTGAGAAAGGCACGTTGCCGTCCATAACTCGGAGACAATTGCCGCGGGCGTCGCATATTGCAGACAATGTTGTGGTACCCCCCATATGCCAGTCACTGTTATTGCCATAGAGCGCGACGACGTGAAATTTTTCCAGCAGCATGAGATGTCGGCTCGTGCGCTGATGTAAGGACTCAAAACTGATGTTGCAGGTGAGGTCAGAAAGGCGAGGTGGTTGGGCTGGTTTGGATTCAGGGCATGGGGGTGAATCAACATCATGGTGCTCACGTTGGATTCTCATAACAAAAGCTCCGCTGTTCTGGAGGGGATGTGGGGACGCTGGTTTTGGGCACGTTTCTACATGGCAGCTTTAAACCAGGTTTGGGTGCTGCCCTTTGCTGCGGTTGACCCATAGCCCTCGTAATTTTATGCCACAACACACCCAGACAACATTCGGCTGTTTAGGGCTGAGGGTTCGGGATCCGGGCCTTGGGGATTCAAAACCCACCCCAAGCCTGTTCTAGGCTTTCAAATCCAAAGACCAAAGACTGCAAAGTCACGATTTTATTCTATCTCCTCCAAAAATGCAGGGCAGGGACAGGAACAAATAGCGCATACATAGACCCGAAGCATGCGCTGCGCCCCAAACAGTCGTTCAGGCATTACGCAAGGCTAAAGGAAGCCCTGCAAATCATGAGTTTTGAGACATGAAGGCAGCAGTATGGTGTTCACACGCTTCGTGTGTGGAGTGGTTGCCTCATCACGGACCTGACTTTCCCACCCGACTTCTGCGGCTGCCTGGGGCAAGTCCTCCGGCTGCACCGACCTCGGGCTCAGCGGAGCTTCCTCATCTGCGGCCTCGCGGCGAGAAGTCTTTTCATCTTGTGCCATTGCAGGCGAACAGCAGTGACCGCAGCAGTGGTAGCAGCGGCGGTTGTGGCTGTTCTGGCTCTTGTGGCCGAAGTGGTGGTTGCGGCGGTTTGTCGCGGTTTGTGGCGCAGGAGGCGGCGGCGGTGGTCGTCATCATGGTACACGTGGAAGTAGCAGTAGTGGCAGTGGCAGGCGGAGGAACAGGAGAAAATTGAGAAATTGTTGGCATTTCGCGGTGGATGTCGCACCAAGCCGGCCTGTAACTCTGACTCTGTCGGCTCCTCGGCCGGTAGAAGCCACTGCCGCTCCAGCTGAGCAACCTCATAATTCTTTGAGCAAGTTTCTAGACGGTACACAGAAGAACTCCGTGGAAACTCCTGTAGGAACTGCGTATGACTCTGATCCATGTCTACGAAACAGACGCTTCTGAAAACTACACCGGGGCTTCCCTTACAAGATCTATTCTGCTTCAAACATTCTCATTAATTTTGATTTCAAGAAGCTGAGCTCGTGCAGATCCAGAGGCTGCATGCTTCATCGCCATAAAAGCGGATGCAAGCAAATAATGGAGTAGAGTTGGCAGGTATTTTCTATATGACCATTAAAAAGCCCGACAGGAAGATGCTAGTGGCTCTTCCGTCTCCTGTATTCAGCACACTGGGCGCCCAGCATTGAGCCTTCGCTTCGTCTGCCAAATCGGTGTGGGAGGCGCGCCCGCACGAGCCACCCTGAAGCATTGTTGGGCATGGGAGTCTAGGTTTGCATTTAGGCTGTGGAGGATTTCGTTGAGGGTACAACAGCCTGAAGTTGGAATATGCGGGTCTGACAGGGACAACCAGAACTACCCTACTCATCAGGGACTCTCATTCATAGATTGAACACTGACATACAGTGAGGCTCGAAGGCTGAGGGAAGGTACCACTTCCCACAGCGAATGGAAGCAATGAAAATCCAAATGAACTGATAGGTGAACTGAGAGCCTTACAGGGTAAAGATGTAGTGATACGTGCATGAGAACTTGAATGTTGCAACATAGGAGCCTGGTGTCACAATATCATCAACGGCAAGTTAAATTTGTGAAGCCATGCCAGGGAGTGCAGGCGGCCCAATCTTTTAGTCAGATCCTGCAACCCCAAATACCACCAGCAGGGAACTACGGCTTAGCTTGAAGCAATGACAGCTCTAGACCCTAGACCCCTACACCCGATTGCAAAAAGTTCTGGGCTGGGCCGGCGGGTCCAATCTCGGATGATAAAATGATCAGCAAAATCAGCGGCAGCCATGATATGTAGGCATTTGGTTGCTGGTTTGTAGTAAGGAATATGGAAATATAGTATATAGGGGTTATATGGGTCTTCTATTCGGTCATGTCCTACTAACAAATTTCGGGTACTGTACCTTTTTAGGGGTCCCCATGATAGGATTGAAATATGTTGGGGTTCCCCTTTTTTCTGAGACTACCATATTCTCATATGGGTGGTTGTCAAAATTATGGTCCCTTTGTGGGTACCCTAAATACTAGGTGCCGTACTATAATAGGGACCCAAAAAGGGACCATAATTTTGGCAACCACCCATATGCTGCTCACTGATGTGCTGCTTTGCATGCAGAACACGGAGCCTTGCCCTCCGTCGTCCCCAAGACCTTGGACTGCAGCTTGGATTCCAACACTGGCCTTTGGTTAGCTGGGAATGAAGGAATGGAAAATAAAATGGGACCTACTATAATGGTATATATTACCGACTAGTATAAGGATCAATTCCTTCATTGTTAGCTAACCAAAGGCCAGAACATGACAAGTGTCACGCAAGAAGGGCTGACATGAGCTTCAGCGCTCATTTTTCTCAGTAAAAGACAAAGGCTATATGACTCCTTGCTAAGGACTACACAAAGAGTTGCGTTGACTACTGGAAGGGAATCTTGGAAACGAAGAGGTATTCCAACCCATGCATCTAAAATGTACTACTGTTCCTATTGTATCGAGAATTGACTCTGCTGTAGTTGCATCCCCCCATACCGCATGTCCTCGCCTTATCCTCAAAGCCTCAACACGGAAGAGCAGCTACAACGATGACAATGACCATGATGACACTGAAAGTCTCAGAAAGAATGACAGCCCATCAGTATGCACTTTCGATATGCATCAACGTTACGGTTCTCTTTTCCCCCCCTGTCATAATCAGGTGAGATCCATACTAGAGAGTTCTCAAAGGACCCCCAAAATAGGTCCAGGACTATTGAGCCCTAAGCCCAAACCTACCAAAGAGACCCCTAGAGGATTATATTGGTGTTATATAAGGGTTCTATTGGGATTATATTAGGGTTATATCGGGATTATATAAAGGGTTACATAGGGGTTATATTGGAATCCCAAGCCCTAGTCGCCAAGCCAAAAATCCCAATCCCTCCCTGAGCTTCTTGCGCCAAGCCCAGGGAAGCCAACGGCAATGGCAATGCCATGCAGGCCTGAACGTGGAGAGGACTTCTCCAGGGCTTAGGGAACTCAACCCTTGGGGCTTTACACGGTTGATATGGGGATTACTTAGGGACTATACAAGATATGCAAGGCTTGGAGAATCAAATACGAAATAACATGGGGAATTACATGGAAACTGGCTTTGTGTGGGGGTAGGGGGGGGTCCTAGCATTAGGATCATGTGGACTACAGAAGGATTATGGGGTTCCCGTGAAGAGTGGATTCTTCCAGGAGCTAGCCTGAACTGGATCTGTAGAGGTCCTTTTGAGAACGTTTTGGCTTATGCAACACATCTGTGATGGACCCAGAAGAGTACGATAATCTTGACAGCCCCTGCTACACAAGCAAGGCGTTGGTCTGCAAAGCCAACTAAGACACATCTCAGGGGATATACGCCGATCATCACAACACCTCGAGGAAACACCAGATTTTGACTATGACTATGAAAGTGACTGCTCTCTTCTGGCGGCGCGATAGATGCGATCCCTCACCATGCACCAACAGTCATTGGAGCCCACATCAGTAAATCTTTGGAAACAAACACCCACAGGGAAATTAAGATTGGCCCCATGAGTCAATGCATATCATCTTTGTGCGCAAGGTGGGCCATCGGCCACGTGCAACTCTACTCTCCCTTCCCTGAAACCCATAGGACAGCTCAATTGAGCAGACATGCGCCTTTGCAAGAGTGGAAGAGAAGCCGGAGGCCTTCGGCCTCAGGGGTTGCGGTCTGCAAAGATCCTAAGATGAGACCCTCCACTGAGAGCCGGGCAAAGCTGGGTTTGTGGGAAGATGTGGCACCTTGGAGTTGGGGGCCCATTGAGGCTTGGACTCTGGTTCCCTTGGATTTTCTGAGCGACCACCGTCTAGTTGAGGAAAAGAGATAAGCCACGGAACAAACGGTAAAAAGTCACAGGACAACTTACAGCATCAGCACTGCGGGTAGTAGGTTCATACTAGTCATTCTTGAGTGATACTCGCTGGGGCGAGCACTGATGGGCCCTTTACAGATCGCACGGGGGCGGCAAGTTCCATGGCTCCAGGAGATCTCAGGACCTGAGCCTTCAAAGTCAGGTCACCGAGGTACTACTCAACGCAGCTTCGCGCTTCTTAAGCTTACGTCCAACAAAACTGTGTTTGATGATAGATAAGATCCCATGGCCTGTCCATACCGGAAGACTGATGTGCTTCTCTGAGCCAAAATAATTTAGACAACATCCAAGAGGTTGCTGCTGATGCCTGAACTAATGCTTAGCTGCAGGAGCCTGACGCAATGTTTACGATGGCTGCTCTCGACGTAACGGGAAGAGACTGCACGCAAGCTAGCAGAATGCTTACATGGTCATCCCGGCCAGCTCAATGGCATTCAGTGAGTGCTGCATGGAGTCCAGGATGGGCGGCTGTGTCTCCATCCGTCGTCCCCACTCCTCCTGTGAAGAAAGTAGCCGGAGCCATGCTGCACCATAGAGGGCTCCCTCACCTTCGCCTTCAACCCTGTAGCCATAGCAGCGCCGGAAGCGTGGCCCATAGCCTAAACCACCCATGCGGAAGGACAGGTAGAGAAGTGCATGGCTCATGCCAGTCATCACGATGGAGCCACGGCCCACGGATTTCTTCGAAGCTCCAGGAGCGGCTTGGACGGCTAACTGGTTCTTCTTCAAAAACTGTACAAGGCCTGCCTGGTCATCATCATCCTGAATAATCAGAGCCGCTTTCACCTCGTCTTCCGTATAGCCGGAGAGGTCTTCTAAGCGAGCCATCACAGACTGGAACTCGTCCGCATCGCGATTGCGAGCTGCCTCAGTCAACTCCTGCAAGGCCTCCTGGGCATCGCGTCGATTGGGAGCCTGATCCACACGCCCGCACTTGATCTGAAGGCGGCTCACCACTCTCCTAGCATCTGCGACAAGGGCAGAAAGCTTGCTGGACTTGGCAATCACCAATGCCTTCTGGGCAGACTCCACAGCAGCATCTGTCCTGCCCATCGTGTCCTCTACCTGGGCAAGCAGCAAGAGGATCTCCCCCTCCGAATCAGCTGCTGCAGTTCCTTTCACCAACTCCAGGGCCTTGCGCAGAGCACTACGAGCCTCTCCGTACAGCGCCCTTGCTATGTATGTATCGGCTAAGATGCGGAAGGCTGACACCTGCCCAGCCGCATCACCCTCAGACTCAAAAAGTCGAAGCTCCTCCTCCGTGGCCTCGAGAGCTGCCAGGGTATCCAGGCCAAGGCTGGTCACCAAGGTCTGCAAAGCTGCCAGCCGGCCACGCCGATGTCTCAGGTCACGGAAGAGGTCCCGCGCGCGCCGCGCGGCCCCCTGTGCCTCCAGGCCATTTCCATGCTGTAGCCGAGCCTCCGCTACACCAAACAGCATTGCTGCCGCTTCGCCCTCCTGCATGCTAGTAATGCTAGTACAGACTCTTCGCTGCACGCCTAGCTGGACATACAAGATAGGAGGCTTTTCAAGCTGTCCTTGTCTCCAAGCCTTCGAAGAAGGGCAGCTGATTGATTAGACGACTCCAGAGATGCAAAGGGCAACTCCCCTTTGGCCGCCCCTTCCAAAGCCTTTTGGGCTGCAGTCCTGCAAGGTTAACTACTCACAAATTCCAGCCCTTAACAGCAGCCGCAGCAGGGTGGTGAATGTTTTGCCTAAATTGGAGGAATCTGAGAGCTCCCTCATCCTGCCTGCCAAAGAAAAGAAAGAGCAGCGCCATCACATGCAGCGCCTCACACTGGCCCTCTTCGTCATGAGCTTCTCGCGCAAGGGCGAGCGCCTGCTGTCAGAGCCACATAGGGATCATGCGGCTACGTAAGGGTCGACCGTATACCCTCCTGTACGTCAGGAGTCTGAGCAGGTTCTTACTCTAGGGATCCACAAAACCGACCGATACATGCCAGACCCCACCACATCAGCTGAAGAGCACGTCACGTAGAAATGTCCTAATAAGCAATCCACACAACAGGGTCGGCTTGCAGCGACTTGTACCCACGCATGGAATCGGTTATGCTTCTTGACTGCTCTTCTTCACCTATCCAGCATTTCCTGTAATCAGAGCGAATAAGATGCAAGTACAACTCCTAGATCAGAGCATCTTGAACTCGCTTTAATCCTGCCTCGCATTCTGCCTTCACCCAGCGCCAGTCCGTAATAAGGAGGATATGCAGCTATATATAGAGAGAGAGAGAGAGAGAGAGCGAGAGTATAGCTGTATAAGGAATATCTCCCCACCTCCCAAGCCGAGGAGGCTGCTGCTTCCCCGGCTCCACCCGCCAAGTGAGCGTTGGCTTCCTGGTTTCCCTAAATTAGGGGTACCCCTTTAAGGGGGTTGTAGAGGGTTATACTTTTAACCAGCTACATAAAAACAATCAGTTGTATTAATGGTTTTTTTGGGGGGGGAGTCCGAGGTTTGGCACACTGAGGTCTTTATAACCATAGCTTTACATTGATTTGCAAGATCCCTCGCCTGGATGCCCCACATGTTTGCTCTTGGATGGGATCCTCATAAGTCGCCCATTTGGGGGTATCCTTTTGTAGGGAGGGGGGCTATGGTTTTACTAGGATGTTGTTCATGGCGGGATATTTCTATTTCCGCCTGACCTTGGCTCCGACACGATGATAAAGGCAGTCGCTCGTATGAGTTGTGTGAGGTTGCTAGGGGTGCATGGAACTAATGGCAAGCATGAGCATGTAGGGTCCTTGCTGTTACTATGAGCACCAGCACAAACAACAACAAGAAGAACAGCAAAGCTATGGAAAGATGGGGTCTGCTCCTAGCTAATTCTGAGTTGCAGATATACCACAAGACAAACTCAATGCAGACGAGCAGAATCACGAAGCACAACAACAAGCCCAGGATAACACTGGCCATCATAGTAGTGGTCGGAACTGCTGATAAGGAACCTAGCTGGGAGGTAACGACTGATTTCATGCTTTCAGGAGCACTTCCTACCTACATGAATTGCAAGCATCTTTTGTTGATGCCGAGTGGTACTCCGAGGGTCCTGGTTCCTAGTCACTTCTTACAACTGGGCCTTTACTCTTATAATCGCCCTATGTGGACTCATGTAGGTTACCCCAATTATAGGTAGGGTTTTAAGCCCACTTATAAGTGGTTACTAGGTTCTATGAGCCTCCAAGGGAGCTATACTCGAAACTTCTAGTATCCACCTCAATCTCAACATAACCCCCTGTATAAGCCCCTTCAAGGAGCTCAGACCCCAACCCTAAACCCTAATCCCCTACATAACCCCCCCTTTAAAGAGTTTAGACTCTTGCTCAAGTAGGGGCAATGGAAAAAATGGCAATTACTACATTATACCAGGGTATGTGTATGCATATATATATATGTATGTATATACACATATATATTGAATTTTTGTAGGGAACAAGAGAATATGGGGCGCCCAAAAAGTGCTGAATGATCGGCCCAGCTGCTGCTACGAGGAGTCGCAGTAAAAGCTCCCTGCAAAGCGTGGCTCGCGCAGAGATCCAAAGCATCAGGGGTTTAGGGGTTTAGGGTTTAGGGGTTTTGGGTTTAGGGGTTTAGGGTTTAGGGTATAGTATTATTACTACTATTTGTACCAGCTAGTACTATTCATACTACTTGTGACTATTGTTACTAGTGCTATTATTATGTAGTGCTGAGGACTGCCCGTTGACCCCGCGCCTGTTCTCCCTCTCAGACATAGCTCCTCTTCGAGAAATGAGCTGGCGGCCTGGTCGTATGGACGAAACCAGAGATCATATAGGGATAGTGGAAAAGAAAATGGAAACTACTCTATTATCTTGAGGTTATATAGGGTTTAGGGATAATGGAAAATGGAAACTACTATAGTTTATTGGGGTTATATAGGAATAATGGACAATAAAATGGAAACTACTATAGTATATTGGGGTTATATAGGGATGAAACGAAAATCGAAACTGCTCTACGAACTTGGTGCTATATGAGGATAATGGAAAATGAAGTGGAAACCACTGTAGTATATTGGGATCATATAGGGATAATGGAGAAGAAAATGGAAACTAGTATCAGTGGCCTCTCATGATATGATAGCCGTGAAGATACGAGCCTTGCTCGATAACCCCTGCATTCATCATCCTAAAAACTAAACCTTAAACACTTCCTGCCTATGCAGTCGCCTTCTGAGAAGTCTTGAACGGCACCCTTGCCAAGTAAAGCCGCTTGAAGACGATAACGCCCAAAACCCCCCATTATCCCTATATAACTCCATTATCCCTATATAACTCCAATATACTATAGTAGTTTCCACTTTATTTTCCCGATATACTACAGTAGTTTCCATTTTATTTTCCATTGTCCCTATATAACTCCAATATACCATAGTAGTTTGCATTTTATTTTCCATTGTCTCTATATAACTCCGATATACTGTAGTAGTTTCCATTTTCTTTTCCATTATCCCTAAATAACCCCAATATACTATAGTAGTTTCCATTCCATTTTCCATTATCCCTAAATAACCCCAATATAATGTAGCAGTTTCCATTCTATTTTCCATTCTCCCTAACCCCGATATACCCTAGTAGTTTCCATTTTCTTTTCCATTATCCCTATATAACCCCAATATACTATAATGGTTTCCACTTTCTTTTCCATTATCCCTAAACCCTAAAGCCTTTATAAGCCTTGCAAAGCTCTTCGACGCCTTCGCTTGCAAAGCGCCTGGCTGTCTTGGCATCCCCTGCCTGAGTAGCTAGCAAGGAGATGTGGGCTTCGCAGTATTCCGGATTCCTTTCTTACCTTGGTTCCTACAAATACTCGTAACACCATACCTATGCAAATCTCTAGTATAGCCGCAACGGGGCTGTTTGTGTGACTCGCCGTGATGGTCGCAATTGTCAGTTTCACTTTGATTTCTGACCTCATGGCTAGGATCGCTGCAATCATCACCATCGACACCTTTGTCATACCCGTCACCATCCCCAAAACACATATATCTGAGGCTCACATCACATCATCACCATTGTTGGCATTGGCGTGTCTCTCTCAGAGCTTTAGCAACGGTAGCACTTCAGTTCTTTGAAAGGTAACCCCAAAAAACGCAACTACAATTTTAAGAAGCTCTTCTGCGTCCTCGGAACCATAGCACTCTTACACCCCCGTGAAAATCCCCTCATAATCCCAACATAACCTCCAAAAAGGGGACCCTTACTCATTCCAACCCTAAAACTTAAACCCTATACCCGAAACCCTAAACCCTATACCTACACCCTGAACCTTGCGTCAAGCCGCAGAAAGGGCCACATTGCTCTGCGCTGCTAGAAGAGTTGCCTGGGCTCGCTGATCTCCTGGCAAGCTTGGGACGTCGGATCTAGGGATATTGTGACTCAGGGTGTAGGCTTTAGGGTTTGAGGGTTTGGTTTAGGGTTTAGGGTTTAAGGTCTTAGGGTTTTAGGGGTTTGGTAGGGGATGTAAAACTATTTGTTCCCTCCCGCACCCGACTAGTCAGAGAACTACAGCTTTATGCTCAAAAGCTCTTCCAAACAGCACACAGTGGTGGCCACGCCCATGTATAGGGATTATATGATAACATATGTAAGGCCATTACACCCAATAGAGGAGAATCAAGCGGAAAATGAATTGAAAACTGTGATTTTTGGGTGGATTGTGGGATTGGCGCTTCCGAGAGTTAGGGCACCATTTTGGGCTCCCCATAATAAGGGCTATAACATATAGGGGTCTATAGTGGGCTCCCCCTATTCATGGAAACAACCATCTAGGGATACTAGGACTCAGAGTTTGGTCCAGGGATACAAGACTTTCGGTGTATGATTTAGGGCGTGAGTTAAGGGCAACCGTTCTTCATGATATGTGCTGGGGTTGAAACTTCGACCAACCGCTGCAATGCTGTGGTGAATAGGGATGCTGATTTGTATTTTCGTGGGTTAGCTCCTTTCACTACGTCTCACAAAATCATGGTGTTAGATAGGCAGTTGCTAAAGTTAAGCCCCAATAGGTTCTGGGCGGTAGTGTAGTGTTGACCCAAGACGCAACGCAGGACTGTGATTCTGACTCGAAATCGTTCTCCTGTACATCCGAGTACTGAATTCTAACTGCCGTCCGGCAGGGGTTGACACTCGACCATGGTCTTCGTTCGATAGCGCAAGTCGGGTACCACGCTGTAGTTCTAACGAGAACTATCCTCATTTGCATACTTCTGGCCGAACTCATCCAGTCTACGTTTGAAATACTCATAAACCTCCAAATAAGCAAAGCCCAGAAATGCACCTGCGCCACGGCTGGCATTCAGCTCGGCACCAAGAACCTGCTGCGCCTCGGGAGCTGCTGAAATATTTGGTAGTTTCTCTAAATAAGGGAACCCAAATATAGACCCCAATATACTAGAATCTTTATTATGGGGACCCCTAAAATGGTACCCCCTAATTTTGGGAAACCCCCATTCAGGGTTCCAGATGTGGCTTTGAGGATTGTGCATGCAAGCTTGAGGGTGTGGGATTGGGGGAAATTTGGGGGCTTGGGAGTTTTTGATGTAGAAAATAGGATTTGCGGTTCCGGATTCATGGTTTTCCTTCAGGACTTGGGGCACGCTGTGGCTTTAAAACATCTTCCAACTTGGCTTGCACCTTCAAACTCAAGGCAAACTGAAGCTCTTACACCCTAACCAGTCAAGTCTACACCCCGAACCAGAACCTGACCCAGGCGGTTCAAGCTTTAAGGCCGAATCCGAACAGACCCTCCCAACTCAACCTACCAGAATGCAGAGTCACATGGGACAGAAACTGGACATTGAAGTGAAAACTACTACATATGGGGGTATATAGGGGTATGGAGGGAAAATGGAGAATCAAACGGCGAATGAAATGATGGAAGCTAGGGCTATACAGGGATTATATTACAATATCACCAAGAAATCTACAAACCCCAACCAAATTCGATAACATCCACTGTCTGCGCCACCTACTTAACAGCCAGCGATGCAAGAATAACATGCCGCAGAATACCTCGACTTTGAGTTTTTAAGTTGGTGACCACCCTTCTTCAATGTTTTCCTCTCAATATACGGCGCATTTAGGGATCTTGTGCCACCAATGCCGCCTAGACTACTGCTACTCCAAAACCATTGGGGGGATGTCCGAGTCAAGAGGAATACGAACAATAGTGATGATAATCCAAACAAAACTACTAATACTAAAAAATGTGATGATATTGGCAGTAATCATAACAGTAATCATACTAAGAACCCTGATACTGATAAGTAGTACCTTACCTAAACCAAGGTGCCTCCACCACCCCACCGGTTGCAGCGAGGGCCAGGCCCTGGAGACCTGGCCATGGGGTTGGGGCCTGAACCCATGAACATCCACGGACTTACGGGTGCTTAAGGGAGAGTGGGGGGAGGGGATTCGCATAGTAAGCCCCATAAAGTCCTCATACATACCCCTAGGAGAACCCCTATATTTACTCCTCCACTCCACCTTAAGGTGGATTGCGTAGGGAGAAAGAGGTATGGAGGAACATACAGGGAACTTTAAGGATGTTTTACAGGGATGTATAGGGATATAGAAGGACGCAAAAGAAAAGGAAATGGAAAATGAAATGGAAACTGGGGTTTATAAGGTTTCGGGAACTGTTGCCAATTTGTAGTGTGCTTCATTTTGGGGTAGCTGGGCTTTTTATCGTCGAAAGAGAGTTCTACTTCTGGATCCGCCGCTACACGGGAACACCCCCCAACCAATCCTCAAAAAGCCTTACTGTACACAGAATTGAGCTTTACGAAAAAAATCTAGTCGACGTAATATGAGGATTCCAGCGCAAGGAAGATGAATATCCGCAAACTAATGTCGTGAGGCTCTCATAATAGTGTGGTTGCAACGTTCGGCATGTGGCACTTGGTGCTGGGGCTTCAAATCATATTTTCAAGCCAGGCGTGATTCGAGGTTCCTACTCGCAGCGGATGGGCTCGTCTACCCCGAAGACAGCTTTAGGAATGCATCCCTATAGTATTCCTTATATACCTCAAGAATAGTCCTCATATTCCTTTCCATTCCCTCCTACTAGTTACTGGCCAGCACTAAACGGAGACCCTCCCTTCAATGACTCAAAAACTCTACCATGAGCCTGAGTGCCGGCGATCTGCTGTATGCACACCAAAATCCTAAGGTGGATGGATGAAATCTTGCACCATTGAGGACCCCCCATAATGCTGTAATTTCTAGGGTGTAGGGTATATCATGCGGTGCAAGATTTCATCTATCTACAATCTATTCAACGGACCGAGTAAGGAAACTCATTCAGGAACTTCAAATCTTAGACCTGAAGCTCTACAGGCTGAACCCTCGCATCCACTAAAGTCCGATCAGCAAAATCCAGGCGCAGACCAGTCCGCCCGAAGACACACCCTAAACCCCCGAACATGAAATTAGCACAAACTCCAGAAGTACCGAACCCCCCTAAGACCATGAGACCCCTAAACTCCAAAAGCCCCAAACCCTAAGAGCGCCGGAAGCTCTGACGGCTTCTGCTACCAGCTGCAGGTCTTTGTTGGCCCTGGCAGAGGTTGCCACCTGAGGCGTGTTTTTTTGGTCGGTGAACAAAAAAAGGTATGCTTTTCTTGTAAAAGTATTGCGACCACAAGGACAACTTGCTGAGTCCCTTTTAAGGGATTGTAGGGGCTCTACGGGTGTATACAGTGGTTGCACTAGGATCACCGGGAATCGCGAATATTTGGTTTCCGCTTCTTCTTACAGCTGATGGGTCTGATGGGTCCAATTAGGTGTTGGGGCTGCGGGGGACTAGATGGGAACCCTGGCTGTTGATAATGCCCATATGGCTGCTTGTAAAGTATCGCCGGCAAAAAAAAATGTGTTTCAGTGCTTGCCTTCGTTGAACACAAAACAGAAGATCGACTAAAGGCAATCATTAGCATCATCATCCTCACAGCATGGCTTTTGTTGTCAGCCGCATCGAAGTCAGATGTTGCACTGAACAGAATAGCTCTTACTACAAGGGAGACTCTGTTGCTGGTGACACAGAAGCAACCTGACAAGCACCCCACGATATGTTGTTTCTTGCTCATCTTCTGTTCTCGGTAAGATGCCGAGTACAAAACAAGGCTTAGCCGAATCGGGTTGGGTATCATCTCTTTGTAGTGCGCAGCTTGAGCAACAAGAAGATATCAGCCTAAAAAAAGGATCAACTCCGCCGTTTGCTCCAAATGTCTACACATGGAGATTTCTGGTACTTCTGGTGGATGTTGTGTTCACATGCGGAAGCCAATAAGGCTGGAGGTCGAGAGTACGAGGCAGAAGCTACCAGGGGCCTGAGATTTCCAAATCATTTTACTTAAGGTAGTCTGGGTTGCTGTTAAGGAACTTAAATCAAGTTACCATAATGGGTATATATAGTAAATAATAGGGTTTCCCCAATGTAGTAACTTAATTTGAGTTCCTTAACAGCAACCCAGTAGTGTTGTACTTGAGGTTGGAGGTTCAGAGTTCAGGGACCTTGAGCCCTACATGACCCCATACCTTTAACCTGTACAACCCCAAGATCCCCAAAAAAGCAGTTTCTCAAAGCAGCCCATCCTCTTGAGAGGGGGCCTCTTAATCTCCTTAGAAGTTGTTACATCTACATCTAGATGATCTGAGGATACCTGATTTGGAGCCCCGATATCCAAGCCCTAAACCGTGAAAACGAAATGGAAGCCCCCAAACCCCAAACCCTAAACCCTAAGTGGAGGCTTCCATTTCGGTATCCATGATGTTCCTTTTGATTCTCCATTGGTGAAACCCTGTATATATCCTGCAGATCGGAGTTTCCATGTCATTTTCCATCTTCTCTTCCATGTGATTCTCCATTATTGGGTGGTGATACCCCTATGCATCCCCTATATCACCCTAAACCTGAACTTCCAATTGTCTTTTCCAGTCTCCTATATAACCTCTATATCCCCCCGATTTGATTTCCATTATTGGCGTCCAAATTATAGTATGCATCCTTATCTAATCCCAGTTTCCATTGAATGTTGCCTTTTCTTGTCCAGTTGATTATCCATGATTCCTTACATACCCGTACATACCCCCATATGTAGCAGTTTCCATTCCGTTGCCCATTCTCTTATCCCTTGATTCTCCATTTTCCCCAAACCCTAAACCCTAAATCGTAGTTGCCATTTCGTTTTCCATTATCCCTATAGAACCTCAATAACCCCGAGATATGCCCTATTACAATGTAGTTGTTTCCATTTTGTTTTCCATCATTCCTAGATCATCCCTATAAAATCCCTATCAAATCCCCATCAAATCCTTATCAAATCCCTATCAAATCCCTATATACTCCTATCTAATCTCCATATAGTCCCTAGAATCCCTTGTCAGTGGGCCTCCTTGGCCTCCCTGATAGCCTCCTGGGGTGCAGATTTGGCAAGGCTTCGCCTCGAAGCTGATGGACAAAGGTTGAAGGTCTTGGGGTTGAGAGTGCGAAGTTTTTCTGTGTTTTAAACGTGTTTCAACGTTCAGGGTTTAGTTTTGGGTCTGCATGACAGACGAAAGACTCCAAAGTCAGGCCATGGAAAGAACCTCAAGATTGATTGGCATCCTCAGCAAGTGTTTAGCGTTTGGGGTTTAGGGTTTAGGGCAAGTTTAGGGCTTGGGGTGAAGGGCTTAAGGTTTAGGATGAATGAAGAGTTGAGGGTTGGAGCTTGAGGTTTGGGGTTCAGGCCTTATGGCTGGAGTAGAGGTCTACGGTGAGGGAGATTTAGGGTCGCCTTAAACTAACTGATCCAACAGCATCGTTATGATATGTGACCCTGAACACACCTAAGCAAAAGGCTTCTGGGCTATGGGCTTCCTAACTGGACAGGACGATCCTTAGTACTCGAGGCATGTTGAATGATTGCTCTCCCGCAAGCTTCATATACAGTCGGAATGCAAGGGTTGCTGCAGGAAAACGTGATGCTCGACGGGCATGCCGTTAAGTGAAAACACAGCCTGAAGTTCTGCACAATCTCTTTAAGAATGTCCAGACGACACATCTGTGCTACACTGACTGAGACTTGCGCCGCGCCGACTCCAGTGTGGACATTGCACCTCCGATGCGGTCCGCCGACTGAGCAACTGCTGAATGCACGAGGTGGACAGTGGACGCGCGCGCGTTCCCAGGAGATGCAGGTAAAGCTACTATGCGCAAAAAAGGGTGTCAAATCATCCAAGTCCTTGCCCTGACAGTACCTGCCCAGTTCCTCAAAGCTGCACTGCCCTGCACCTCCCACCTTGTGCTGGTGACCGCTCAGGCGACGGTAGATGGCGCGAGAATCCAAGCTACAAGCCGTGATTCCTGAATGAAGGATGAATGTATAGCGACGCAGTATCAATTCGGTATCCTTGCATGAGTCCTGGATGACTTGTGTGTCATATTCCATTCGCTGCCTTTCTGCTGGCTGTATGAAGCCCATGCTGCCTTCAATTGTTACTTGGCTCCACGTCATGCTTAGGGCAGTCATGCACTGACCGGCACGAAGCCCTGGAAGCCGGGCTTGGCGAAGTAGTAAGCATTTCGATCGGAGACATAATCAACAGCACTAATCTTCATAGCAAGGGCATCATGTGTGGAAACTGAGAAGACCAAGTTGGTGATGGGGCAGCCATTACTACAGGTAGGGAGGCATTTCCATCTCTTTGCTTCAGCTGAACTGTTCCACCAAAATGAAGCGAAGAAGGTACCTCTGCCAGTTCACGGTACTGTAGGTAATGACTTGACTGCCCATGCGGGAATCTGGGAGGCTTTCGAACAGGATACCCCGCTAAGGATCCTAGGAGGATGTAGGAGGTCTCAGGAAATCCTAGCGGATTCTGTTCCGGATTGCATACACATGTTTTGAAGAGCTGCACATTGGCGGATGTGCAATCTGGCTTTCAGAAACTACCATTGCGGTATTCATCAAAATTCAAAAGCCTATGTACCCCTGCCCCACCAAAGGGGGCCATGCAAAAATGGTAAGATTCCTGCTTCCAGTATGTTAGCTGTGGATAGACGCTGCAGGCTTGGAATGGAAAGAATCAATACAAGGAACAAGAAAGACAAGAATGAAAGAAGAAACAAGACGGACAAATAAAGCCATCTGTCCGTCCCACCTCGCTGCTCTAATTACACAGAAAAACTTAAAGCCTACCACAGATGCTGACTTGAGTTCGTTTCAGCCCCACACAAATCCCATGGCAAATGGATTCTGACTTGGCTTCTTCCCATGCAGGTGTACCAAAGCTATGGTCCCCTTCGTGGGGTTTAGATATTCAGGTTTGCAACATACCGCTGATCCCCAGAAATTAAAGCCGCATCACCTTTGCTGCATCACAACTGTTTGCCACAGAGATCTCCGGTTCTACCGGACGTTCATGGCTTGCACTCATCCAGGTCGCTTAGGCTCACAAGCACTGTGTGGTTCCTCTTCGGGATCCCCTGGACTCTACGGTCCCCTCTGCACGTCTTTGGCGCTCCTTGAGGAGAGTTAGACATGTGCCACACCTTGGATCTATGCGGATCTTGAAAAACAACCTCTTGCCGTCATTATTACGACTATTAATGTTACCCATATTATTACTGCTGTCATTATTACTACTATCATTGCTACATATTAATATTATTACTATTTTCATCAGAAGAAGGGCTCAAAAGGTGACCACAGGTTTGGGCACATGTCCAGTCCGCTTGACCTGCCTGGTCTTCAGGCAGGCACCGCAAACCCTACAGAAGGCCGATCCCCTGTCTTTATCTTAGCGTCATCAATCCCAGCGTTCTAGGAACAGTAACAGATACCATCCCACATGTCCAGGCTAGAACTTCTCTTGGCTCAACCGTCCTGCAACAAGGGCCGTATGTTCTGGTGCTTGGCAAAGGGGACTTGGGCAATGAGGGACTGGCAGAGTATGTCACAGTGGGCAAGCCTGCAATGTGTAGACCAAACCTTTACTGTAGGAACGATGCTGACTCTGCTTAGTCAGTGAAGCAGGGGCGCAAGGAATCCTCAACCAGGCGCACTTCGCAAGGTCGCATGGACTGTAGGCTGGCAAAAAGTCCGTGATACCTCCTGAGCATGTAAACGAGGAATCCTGAATCCTGGCATTTTAAACTTGTCTATGAATACCATTACCAGTTGCAAGCCAATGAGAACCTCTCGTGAACATGCAATCCATACACAGTTGTGTGTGAGGATGATGAAGCTGCCGAACACCTCCCGAACCTGAATGCTTGCAAGATGCTTCTCCCCCACAGAACCTCCAAATTGACCTCTAAAGAACTCCCTTCTACCCCCATGACATCTTCACACTGGTCACTTGCAAAGCCACCAGGATGTCCTCCAAAGGATCCTTTTGCAGCCGCGCGCGCAGCTCATCCATGTCCACACTGTCCATGCTGGACCTCAGGCACTGAGTGTCACAGCATGTCACAACCATGGGTTGCGGTACTGGATAAGAGCCTCAACCCTCAACTTCTGGCCTGCAGCTGCAGGTCGACTGCAGGTCAAACGCACCACAGTAAGGACATCAGCCTTGCTAGCCTTCCCTCAAGAAGAAGTTTTGCTACGTAAACGCCCAACGTGTTATAAAACTGTTTTTGACTAGACCAGCGCCCGACTCTTTGAAATGTCGGAAGTCGACGCTTCAAAGCTTCGTCTACAACACCCTCAGCCACGAGGATCCTCAATAAAAAGACCCAGCTTGCGTGAACTCACTTGTAATGCTGAAACACCCGGATCGCGAAGGTCCAATGAATCCTCCTTATGCCTTCCTTTACCGCCCGTCATTGGAGACACCAACATGGCAGCCCAGCAGCCCTTTGGCAAGCTCCAGCAATATCTCCACGCCATTCAACATCTCTGCCTGCGTGGTGCTGCTTTGGTCAACTACAAATCTTCTTGAATCTTGACCGTCATGATTCTGTGGTGGCACCCCGCAAAAAACTGACAAAACCGATCCAGATGCGGTTGTGCAGGTTTGAATACGGAGGAAAACGGAAATGCACTTCATGCTGGAAAGCCTACCCCGAAGTTCATTGCGGTCTAACAGAATGATTGTTTTTTGGGAGAGCCAAAGAGTCTACTTGAGTTCTGAACCTATTCTTCCAAACTGGCATGCTCTTTGTTTGCAAAGCCCGTAAATCCTTCTTAGACGGCCATACCAGGGGTTCATGATTGTGAGACATCCCCAACACTCTGCTTGTTCTCCACGGAAAAACCAGACAAACACACCACATTTAAAAATCCGACTAAGAACGCCGACACGAAACGCAGCCAAATAGCAATACAAGTTATGAGGACTCATACTATGCTGGTTTTTGATTGAAATCACGGCGTGTTTTCCTAAGTTATGGATAACTTTTTGGGGGTCCCCATGACAAAGATTATAATATGTTGGGGTCTACATTGGGGTCCCCCCATTTAGGGAAACTGCCATGACATGGGCCTCTGAAACATCATCGCTTCCGTCGGCATCCAACACGTCAAAGAGGTCTTCGATCACGTCACAGTCCAGGCCCAGCGACTCCAGTTTAGCCTGGGCCGTGAGTGCATTGGAACTGTGGGTCATGAAGGGATTACATAGGTATAGTATGGGATATACAAGGACTATATAGGTAAAGTATGGGCTTTATGAGGGTTATATATGCATAGTCTGGGTTATATGATGATGATATGGGCCCCTTCACGGAGCCCAGGAAGCAACAAAACAAACCTTCCGTTGGCCGAGATATCGCTACTTGAAGATTTCAAAATGCTCTGATAATCTCTATGTAACTACATCTACAATATTGTGCCTCAAACACACTTATCGAATTCTCCGCCGATCGTTTATGCATCTAAATTCTCTTACTGCAGAGTTCAAAAGCGAGGTAAGAGAAAACCACCTCTTAATATCCCAAAGTCCCTTTCAGTCACATTCTAGAGAGAACACCAGAGTTTCGTAAGATGCCTACCTATCTAGAAGGCAAGCGAGCTCTCGTGCCTGCGTGCTTGGAGACTGGAGAGCCGCTCGGAACTCCTGGCAAGGACCCAAAGGGTTTAGGGCTTAGGGGTTGTGATTAGGGCTCGTGGTTTGAGTTTTAAGGTTAAGTTACCGAGGCTTAGGGTTTGGGACATTGAGCGCGGGTTTGGGGTGCGGGGTCCAGATTTTAGGCGTCTTGATGTTAAGAAGCTACCATGATTCTTAGGATTTAAGGTACTTGAAGTCATGCCGGATTCCGTCTACATACACCCAGCCAATATCTCAAAATGCAAATCTGAACAAGTTAACAATGTTTATGATGTAGAGTTTGGGTAAGGATGCAGGGGTTCGAATGACGGTCGATGCACCAGGTACACCTTTGGCAAAGTGAAGATCCCTGATCGATTGGGTTGCGACTTTGGTCCTGCTTCAAGCCCCTTGCTTGTCGGTAGGCACAAGTCTGGGAAATCCTGAAACACATCATTGTTAAGCTCTATACCCAGTCTAGCTGCATCTATGCATCCCTCGAAATATGTGGAAACCTGCTGTATGTATTATTCCAATCTCAGCATGTCGGGTTCCGAAGCAGGACTCTGACATTGACATGTTTCGACCCTAAGTGCCATCGGGCCAGACTGCAGGTCGATGAAGCTTTACATGATGGGCCTGAAAACTGTTAAGAAACACAGAAAATCTTTGCAAAGGAAAGTCTGCAAAAAGCCTGGCCGGCATACCATCAAGGAATAGCAAGACAGGCCTCTACACCGCTCCTATGCTTTTTGATTCTGTGAAAGGTCGGTACACGTTGAACTTCTATCTGCTTGCCGAGGCTCCTTGCCTTTTGGGCCTAGCCCAGCTCTACTACTTACTAGTTCTTAAAAAGTAGAATATAGTACACAGAGGTTCTACGGGGATCATATTCCTCAAAACCAGTATTACTTGTACTACATCGTAAGACCTTTTGCCCGGCCTCCCGGCTAAGAGTGCCGCACTGGTCAGTGTCCGCCTTGCAGGGAAAGGCATCTGCGAGCCCATTTAATCCACTTCTTGACGTGCCCTTGCACAAGTATGTAAGTCCAAGGTGTACGAACCGCCCCTGTTTTGAGACATAGCCATCTGAGCATCTGCTCAACATTCAGTACCTAAGCACCTCCATCGGAAGGGAAGAAGCTAAAAGCAAATATGGATGTTACAGCATCACTTTTTCTTATATGCATTGCAACAATCACCACCGGTACTTTGCCATTCACACACGTGATGCATCTAATCCTTTGCCCAGCTCTATAGTTGACAACAGAGCAGGCATCAGATTTGTGACAGTCACAGGATGTCTTGATGTTCTATATGCAGGCTGATGACTTGGTATTGCGAGTAGTGAAAGAGAAAGTTGTCATGCAACATCAGCTCGTCGCTGCAGTGGATGCTGGCATCCAGGCCGAAGAATCAGACTACAAACGATGGAGAATCAAATGGTAAAGCACTGAAAATTACATCAAACCTGGGTACGTATTTTTGAGGTTACGTCTTCCCCTAAACATGTATCCAAGACGTCTCTTGTACAAGGATCCAGGAAGGGCTCGCTCCCTAGAAGAACCCACCCTTGGATTGTACTGGCAAGAATTCCGACTTGTCAAGGAAAGATCACAAAAGGGTCCGCATTTATTACTGACTATTACCTTTATTACTATTATTACTACCCTAAGCCCTAAACCTACTCTTACTAACTATTGCCTTTATTATTACTATTACTACCCTAAACCCTAAACCTACTCTCACTATTGCTATTATTTTTCCCAACCCTGCGGTCCTGTTCAAAGACCTGCTTGATGAGGATGCGCCAGCGAGGCAAGGGCTTCGGTTTCCGGAGGCCTGATTATAATATATTCTTTTATATTGTATTACATTATGTTAGTTCTAGTATACAGTATATTGTATTATATTACATTATTTTGTATTGTATTATGCTAGCTTGAATTATGTTACATGAGATTATGTGTTATATTATGTTAGATTGTATTATGTTACATCAGATTATCTCATATTAGGTGTTTAGGGTTTAGGATTGAGGGGTTTAGGGTTTAGGATTGAGGGTATGCTATCGTATATTGTAAGGGTAGTATAGGGTTATATATGGGATAATATAGGGCTATGTAAATATAATGAAAAGAAAATGAAAACTACAGAATTATGGTTTACAATGGAATTTTCAAGCATATAATAGTATCTTATGGTATATTTTGGTAGATTATAGTTAAAGTCGCTCAGGCGGTCTCGGCCCTCGGCTGGCTAAGCTTAACTTCAAAAACATGATGTAGCATTCTCAGCTATGAAAGCCTGAAGACCACATTTCTTTATTTACCAACATCATACACTGGGGCACTTGCGCATGCCTCCCGTGGAGCTGAGGCATGGGCGCAGCACCTTCTGCGTGAAATCGCTGGAACCTGTGCAGTAACTTGCTTCTCCGGTCATCGGGTTCTCCTATGGGCATGTGACTGTTGTATACCTGACCTGGCCTTCCCACACATTAAACAGAATAGGTTTTTGGCCGCAACTGATTTAGCCACCTGACCAAGCTGCTGGCTTGTGCAGGAAAGTAGATTGGCTGTTTGACGAGGACGCAATGTGGCCAGTCATTCAACCGTGACAGGCCCCTTGTCGCCAGAGGAAAAACCGGTTGCATGTCTCAAGTGCAAAGGTCTATTGCGAACTTGGCCAACCAACCACATGACCTTTGCAAACATTGCTCCACCCGTCTAACACACCTCTCAACTCGTCCAAACCTTCAGAGTGCTTCAGAACTATCTCCATATTTCACATGTACCTTTGTAAGGTCTAGTTTCCGTGTATCATTCTAACAGTAATCCCAACCTCTTCAACCCAGTCTCCCCTAAGCTCATGAGCCGTGGCACTGTGCAAAGTCTCGCCCATACGCATTGACTTGATCACTGCCATGAAGCTCCTCTTGGCCTCCATGATTTTTTGTTTAGGGTTTAGGATTTGGGGTTATATATATATATGCATTATAATAACAACAAAAATAATAACAATAGTAATAATAATAACAATTAATAATCAGGGTCTGCAGCATATTGGAGGCTTTGACCTTAAGGCTGAGGAGCCCTGCCTTCGGACGGTAAGACTATGAGCCCCTTTGCGATCGCAAAACCAAAGCGCTTCATAAGGATCTTACTAGAGTTGTGTGCCTGGATGTCAGAGAATAGGTGTCGGTAACTTTCTTCACAAGACGTGTTATTTAAAAGCAAATGAGAAAATCTAGCCTTCCTGCTTTCATGTTTCATCCCTACCGTTGATACTGAAAATCCTGCATGACCTTACTGGTATAGACTGTACAAATGCCTGTAGGGCCATGCAGGAGTTTTAGGTTCAACTGCATTCCTAGTCGAAATGACTACTCGGCTCCAGCTGGCATATGTCCAGGTTTGCAACGGTGAGCCGGAGCAGTTCCACAAAGAACGGCTTTCGCCAAACCCACTGCAGTGGTGGGATTGTATCAGAAAATGGAAGCTACTACATTATAGTAGGGTATCTATTGGGGTTAGTAGGGGATAAGGAAATATGTTCTTTAGGGATTGTATACATGACATGTCAAAATCTTGACCCTTTTTTGAACTCTACTCACATACAATAGAAGATGCAATACCTGAAATTTGAAAACTTTGACAACCGTCCACAAACTTGAACCCTAAACCCTAAACCCTAAGCCCTAAACCCTAAACCCTAAATTCCAAACCCTAAACCCTAAATTCCAAACCCTATACCCTAAATGCCAA